CACGTGGGTTCCTCATTGGATCCTATAAATACCCCCCGGGCCACGTCAAAAAGGGAATTGAAACCAACCTTAAGCTCTTTTTATCTCCGCCAAAAAGGTAGCCCCGATTATTGCTGACTTAAGCATCGGAGTGTCTACCCCGAGTTCCACCTCGGGGCTTTGTAGGTCATCCCGGAGTGCAAGCGCGAACTGAAGAAGGACTTCTGGTTTGGTGCAATTACATTGGCGCCGTCTATGGGAAACGAACTGAAAGCTTTCTAGTTGCTCTTCCATCATGGTTCACACTCGATCAGTCCGAGCTGGTAATTCATCTCTGCCTCATGGGCAAGGTCTACCCCCCAACAACCTTCCACCCCTGATCCCACCTCAAATCCCACCTCAGCTCCCACCTCAGGTCCCAACCATATTCCCTCCTGTTGATCAGGCAGAAGAAGGAGATGAAAACCAACCCCATACCTCAGCTCACAATTCAACTTCCACTGCTAACCAAGACGTGGTGACAGCTCAGCTTGCTGCCATGCAGCAGCAGTTTGGTGTTTTTCAGTTGGTACTAGCTCAGCTTCTAGCTAGAAATAATCCTGGTGATCCCCTCATTAATTTACTAAACCCTGCTCAACAACCCCCAGCTCCACAACAGAATCCCCAATCGGTTCAACCTGATCCCGCTTTTAGCGAATCTCATGGTCAATCCCACATAGCACCTGCTCAACAACCCATCCCTGATGATGTTACCCGTCGCCTCAATAGCTTAGAAAAGCTGATAGCTGAACACCGAGGTGCTCCACCCCCACACCATGCTGCTGATTCCATACCTCACCCCATGAATACCAACATCACACTGGAACCCTATCCTACTGGCTTCAAAATACCACAACTGGAGACTTATGATGGGACGAAGGATCCCGATGATCACCTGTATGCTTTCTACTCTTGCATGCAAGCTCAGAATGCCTCTGATGCATTAATGTGCAAAATCTTCCCCTCTACTCTGCGAGGTAATGCTCGAACGTGGTATTACAGTCTACCTCTGAAGTCAATTAGTTCTTACACAGAAATGGCATCTGCCTTTGCCACTAAGTTTTCCAGTAGAAGGTTGATTAGGAAAACTACTACCGAATTGATGCGAGTTAAACAGAGGGACGGGGAGTCCCTAAAGAACTACATGAGCAGGTTCAATGATGCGGTGTTGGAGGTTAATTCCTTCGACCAAGCTGTGGGCATTGCAGCTGTAATCTCTGGTCTCAAACATGACAGGTTCCGAGACAGTTTGATCAAACATGCTGCCACCACCTTTAGCGAGGTAAATGATAGATCTCTGAAATTCATAACTGCTGAGGAATACGCCCTGGCGCAAAACCCACCTTCCTCTAAGAACCAGAACCCAGAATGGAGAGATGACAATTCGAGCCGGAAAAGAATGAGAATGGCGCAGAACCGAGGTCCGATGTTGACCTCCCCAATGAGATTCGGAAGGACGAACTCAACACCCCCACAACAATCTGCAGGTAAACCTCCAATTAATTAGACTCCCTTTAATCTGCCGAGGTCACAAATTTTTATGCAGATCAAGAATAAAATGGATTTAAGGCGTCCTGGCCCGATGAAAACTGCTGCTGC